AAGAGGGAGGGGGGGGTCGGTCACCAAAGCCTGATGGAGTGGGTGTGCGGCTGATCTGCGTGAAGCAAATAACCTTTCTTCAGGAGAGAGTAATTTAGTATTTGTCAGCGATGAGGCTGAGGGAGATGAGGAGGGAGCTGGAGATAACCGCTCCGTGGCTTCGTTTTATTTCGGCGCAGAGCAGCGTGGGGGCGGATAAGGAATGGCGCCGAGAGGCGCAAGGAAATGATTTCTGAAAATGGAGGCTACGTGTAGGCGAAACCGAGTTGGCGTTTCAGACTTTGTGGATTTGTACATGTTTTTTAGAGAAGCTTATTCTTTTTCTAGTTACGTCACTTACAAGTACTAGTGATACTTGCAACATGCCATGTTTTGAAATGCTTTTCAGACGAAGGGTACATCGTCATTTGGTAAGCGACGAAATAAGACACACACCTTGTGTCGTCGATGTGGGTCCAAGGCGTACCATCTGCAGAAATCTACCTGTGGGAAATGTGGTTACCCTGCTAAGCGTAAGAGAAAGTGTAAGTAACGAACTTCTATCTCACCTGAGTTTAAAAACCTGCATTTCTTTTGTCGTCTTCAGTACTCTGACTCTTTTTCAACCAATGGAGGAATACTGTTACTGTGCAGTGTTTGGAGCCATTTTCATATTAATGCTCATTTAGCGATATGTTCGCTAACATGCAGTATTGCTATGTAGATATTGACTTAACTTATAAATATTTTTTTGCTCTTGGCAGATTGAATAGTTATGCTATACAAATGTAATGTGCAACTTAATTATTTGGTGCAGATGAGTAACAGCAACTTGTATGATTTAGATAACTGGAGTGCAAAGGCTAAAAGACGTAACACCACTGGTACTGGTCGCATGAGGCATCTGAAAAAGGTCTACCGTCGATTCAGGTATAAGATTTTATTACAACCTAGCATGGTGTGGTCCTGCATAGCTATCACTTAATTATAAAATTCGTCATTTATAGTTAACATTTTTATTTATTTAGTACACTTAACATGGTATGGTCTTTCTTAAATACATCATGAAATAAATGTCTTATATAACTGGCTGTGTATTCCTTTGAGGATGAAAAACTCACTGTTAATACCTAGGGCGCATAACAAACTCTGATGTGTAGATAGTACAGAACACAGGTTATTGTAATAAAATGTCTACATTCAAAAGTATATGCTTTGTGTAGTATCGCCTTTATTTGTCAGTCAATTCAATTGCCAGTTGCACTGAAGTGTGGGGTTTTGTAAGAGGCAAGTCTTGAAATGCATTCCACTCCCCTTTTCACCCACAAAAAAAGAGTTCAGGACGGGAAAAACTTCAGTAGTCTCTCTGTTATTTGGAGTTCGGTTGGCAATAAGTAGCCATAACATCAGATTCCGAGTTACAGGTTTCTAAAACTTGTTACAAAGCTTTGAGTTGTACTTAGGAGGTAAAAGTGAGGCTATTGTACTTTCTAACTCATTAAGCCTTTCTTTTGTATGAGCTTCATGTTCTAAAATTGAGCTCTGTAGCTTCTTTCCTAATACACAAGAAAGGTGGGTAAAAAATACTAAGTAGTTCAAGAGTCTTCTTGTAAAAAATGTAGATTGGATTTACTGGTGAAAAGGAGTCTTTTAAGTCCCGGACCTGGATGTAGTTGAGGGATCTGTTCATCTGTTTTTTTTGGGGTAAACGCAATTTTTCGCAGCAGCAGCCTGCTTTCCACTGAGTGTTGCTGAAGTAGAAATGTATCCAAAAGCAAGCTTGGGGCTGACTCTTCTCTTGTCTTGCCCACCTTAGTCTCTGGTTGGAGGCATAGAGGATTTCTATAAGAAACTGACTTGCACTCCACAAACATGAAATCTGCTGAGTTGCTTAGTAGGAACAAGGTATGGCGTGCCTTTAGCAGGTGTGCTGTATCTGATATCTGATGCAGTCTTGCAGTGTTCACTCGGTTACTGAAATCTTCCTGTTTGCAGAAGTCAAATTTACCTCAGAAGAGAGCGAAAACCATACTGCTCATTCCAAACACTTCTATTAATAAGATGTTTCTTATTAAAAAGTATGAACATACGAACTCCGTAGTGATTTCAGTGCATTGCTCAAATAATTTGGTCAACTTGATCTAAAACATTACTTGTCAGAAAATACCCTGGAGCAGGAATCATCCTTTCAAAAAGTGGTAATGATATTTCTATTTATAGGAATGGATTCCGTGAGGGGACCACACCGAAGCCCAAGAGAGCAGCTGTTGCAGCCTCCAGTTCATCGTAAAGACTCATCTATTTGTTAAAATAAATGGTCTTATCCAGAAAAATCTGTCGTCTTTTATAGATGTTTTACTTCAGTGAAAGTGAATTTACGTTGTGAAATGCAAGATTCCTGAAAATACGTACTTACACACATGGATTCTTGATAGTGTGCATTGAAGTGATGCATTAAAAACAATCCTTTAATTGACTTTTCATTTGATAATACCTCTGCCTTTGAAAGGACTGTTGTCTCAACACTGAACTTCAAAAGAGGCTTGTATGTGTTGCTATAGAGAACTCACGTGCAAGGGAAATGGAACATTGGCACTGTAGACTTGCCCTGCTTGCCTCTGAGTTTCACTGTGCCCTAGCATAGAGAGTCAGAATTTATCTCAAAGGTCTTTAATAACGGACCTTTAATGTGCTATTAAAGCTAATAATATATGTTATTATATTATTATAATATAATATTATTATGTGCTATTCTGGGAGGGAATAGTTAAAGAGGGATTTCTAGTCTTAGCCATTTTTCATTGCTCTGTGGTGCTAAAAGACCTGCAAAAGTGGGTCACTGCTGCCTGGGTAAAAAATAAAATCCCAAATTGGGAGCACACATACTGCCAGACACAAAGGGATTGGAGCTGTTCTGTAGTCGGGAGTTGCCCAAACAGTCTGCGGAGGTTGGTGCGGAAAGCTGGCACATGGGAAGATGCCAGTTAACTATGCTGGGTGTAAACAGTAAGTGGCAGGTAGTGTGTTACAGAAGGAAGTTAGGGGGTACCTAGAAATTCTGGATTGATGCTTGATGAATTTGCACTGTGCATGGTGTGTTACTGGGCTACTCGGCTGGCTTTCAAACTGCTTTAAAAAAGTAATCATAAGAGGCTGTTAGGAAAGTTTGTGGAATTGCAGTAATCGCTGCAAGGGTTTGGAGGATTTTCAGATGCCTTGAAGAAAAAAATACTAAAAAACCCAAAAACTTCTGAGGCTGTTTTGACTGTGATTCCTTTGTTTTCGTCGTGAATTTCCAGCATACATGCTTTGTCAGCAGTTAATGTACCAACTTGTGCAAATCACTGAAGAAATTTTCAGCCAGGTTTGAAGTTTCAGTGCACCTGACTGCACCTTCTGGCATTTTTAGGCGAAGTATAGTTAGTGCTTTTGGATACTTGAGTTTGTCTACTTGGGCTGTTTGTAAACAAAAAGAAATCTTGCCCTGCTGTTCTTTTAGCATGTAACAAATAACGCTGAACTCTCTGCTTTCATCTGATCCGAGTCTGAAAGAAACTGGTGGTGAAGCTGTTAAAATACACTCTGCATACTACACATCCATGTATTCCCAGAGCTCAGGAGTGCATCTGAAACATGTTTTTTGGTGATCTACTGAGACACAAACGTGGGAGGAAGTACTCATAAGTATGTCCTTGTTGTTGACTCTCAGAGTGAGAATAGCCTTTCAAAGCATCTTTAAACAAGTCAGCAAGATTCACTGAGCAGTGGGGCAGTGGTACGGCAGGTATTCAGCTATGGGTCGGAATGAAAGCCTTTGCTTTGTGAAGTCTTGCATGATTTTTGTGTAGTGTGGGATTTTTGTTTTGAGCAGCCCGTTACACTGACACATGAACATGATACAATACTGCAAAGGCAAGTGCTTTTTGCTGCTGCTACTTATTTGCTCCTTAGCATGAATTATATTACGCTCCTGAAAAATGAGCATTTGTGTAATATGCAACATAGCAAGAAAATAGTGGTTGAACCTTGAAACATCTTGCAGTAACCCTGAAAACTTACAAACTTTGTTTCAGGGGAAGTTTTACCTACATTAAGAATGAATTTTATGTACAAGAAATTTGACAGCCACTGCATTTTCAACTGTTTTAAAATTCATGCTGAGGAGCAGGAAATCAGTTAACTTGGGTTTATGTTAGACCTCTTCAGAAAAGCTCAGGTAGTTCATGTGTCAGTCATAGTTGGACCAAAAGCTGGTATAGATTCTGAAGTGCTTCAGTTCTTTGTAGTGTTTTCTTAAATGTTGAAAGCTAGACTGCCTTGGTAGTTTTTCAGTGTATAAATCTTTTGTTGAGATCTTGTTACAGGCATCTTAACTCAAGGGTTATCGGTTAGAATTGAACCTCTGCATAGCATTCACTGGCCCCTTTATGTATAGAATTATTGCCATACACTGTCTGTAGTATGTTTGATTTTTTGCATCTTTCAGACTGGTACATATGGCATAGTTGGATGGTATAGTCTAAAATTACATCAGAAATTACTACATTTCATATTGTTCAGTGTAGCAAATCTCACTTTTTGGACAACGATGTATCAGATGAAGGTTTCTCAAAAGCAGAGAGGTGTTCAGGTGACTGTGTAAAATCAATCAGCTTCGCTATATCTAGCTCTGAAAGTGCAACTGCATGCCAGAGTTTAAAAAGAAAAAAGGATTCTTGTCAGCTTGACGAAGATCAGAGCTTTTTTCAGTCTCAAACTTCTAAGTGGGAATTCTGCTTACTGCCATGGAGCAGTATTTCATCTGTGTTCATGCTGAAAGGATGGCAAGACCTAACAGCTGTTCAATGCATAGCAAGCGATAGGTATCAGGGAACTAATCAATCTCTTAAGGGTAATTTAGACTTCGAGTACCATTGCACATTTTTAGACAGGTTGTGTATGTGAACTGGCAAACCCAGGAGGGCTAATGAGCTATATCTCGTCAGTGTGAGATTGTTGACTCCACAGCAGGAACAGTTGGACAAGGTGTTTCATGCTTTCTGACCCACAACTGTTTCTACCATCAAGTGTGCTAGCATAAAGTGGTGCTAATTTCACTTTACCTGTAAGTTAAGATTACCTCCCCTGTTACTGTATTGTAAAGGTAGTGTGGAGATTGGTCCAGTTACTTTTTTCCCCAATGACACAAGCAATCAATACTCCCGAGATTATTTTGACTCCTGAAAAGGAGACAGGTGGTCCTCACATGTCATAAGATGCTGTAAGAGGAAAATGTTGGGGGAAGAAGGGTGTTAGTCACTTTTCCTCATGGATTTAGATGAAAAAGGTTCATGTAAATTGATGACAATGACTTGAAGACCTCTCTTAAGAGTTTCTTTCCTATATGCAGCTGTAACTACTGCACTAGATTCTTAAGCTTCTGTGCTCTTCTAAAATCTGATTCAGAGCCCTAAACGAGAACTTTTGAGGTCTTGGCCTTACACTACAAATGTGGGGGATTTTTTAGTCAAAATATCAAATAATTTGATTAACTGATACTATTTGTCTTACTCAGAATGTGTGTAAACTCCCCCACCTCATGGGGCAGTTGGCATAGGCTGCGTCCATAAAAACATGTACATAAAGCAATGTAAATTCCAACTTGTAATTTTGGGGGGTATTTCATGAGGTAAACAGGTTAATGAATGTGTTAAGGCTGCGAGTCCAATTTGCAAGTTGGCAAATTGGCAAAAATCTGCAATTCGTTCATGGAAACAAAGTCGTATTTTCTGACTAGTAGGGAGATCAAAGTTCCAGTGCTTTCCAGAGAGCACTACTTTCTTAGTGTTGTTACCTCAATGTGGGTGGGTGCCAGCAAGTTGGGGACTATGCTTTCTGATATATTTCATATACAGGTAATAGAGATCTCGTATTTATGTACAGGGAAAGATGCTAGAGGACAAAGGACAGAGTTTTCTAACTGCAATAAAGCTGGGATAAATAATGCGTTTAATCCTGGGTTTTTTTCGTATGGTAAACTTACCTAATGATCCTCTAATGGTGTATATGCAAAATTATTAGCTGAACTTAGTACAGATCGTTGCCTGTTTTACTGCTACTGTTAAACTGTGGTGTGTAAAGGGGCTCGTGTAAAACTGTGGTACGTAAAGGGGCTGGTGTGCTGTAGTCATGGCGCAAGGTACAGTACGTTGCCTGCTGTACCAGTAAATACCACTGCAAGTGTTCCAAGTGATCACTGTGGCAGTTGTTGCAGCAAAACATTACCAGATAGGAGTTAGGAAAGAGAAATTGAGGCTAAGATTTTTGGGATGCCACCACTTCAAAAACAAGAACAGAAAGCACACCTTCTGAAATCCCTAGAGTAACACTCTCCTGCTTCCACCTATACCGAGGAAAGACCATAGAAGAAACACAGCAAGAACAGATCAGCACATGAAAGCTCATACACTTGGCGATAGCACAGTGAATCAAAACTTGTGAAAAAAGTAACACCTTCTAGAAAGTATGAAGAGGAGAATCCTTATGAAATAAGAGGGAATGGACCTGTTAAAACAGGAAGCATGTTGCCTTACCAGTGATGCTCCAAGGAGAAAATGGTGAATAAATAGAATTGTAGAATCAGTTAGATTGGAAAAGATCTTTTAAGATCATCAAATCCAACCATTAACCTAGCACTACCAAGTCAACCACTAAACCATGTCCCTAAACACCACATCTACACGTCTTCTAAATACTTCCAGGGATGGTGACTTGACCACTTCCCTGTGCAGTCTGTTCCAATGCTTGACAGTCCTTTTGGTGAAGAAATTTTTCCTCACATCCAATCTA